ACAGACATAAGTGCAGTTTATAGGTCCATATACAATGCCAGCAGCCTTTCAACATAAAACACAACAACAACAACAACAAGGTACACCTACAGACCAAGACCATCAATATTAAACTCAGTACATATATGGTGTATACAAGCTATAGAAATTTAACAAACCACTGCAACCTAGTTATTCTTTCAACAACACTTCTCTATAATGCAGACTAACCAGTAGTTTTTTTTTTTTTTTTTTCGACAACAGGCAAAAGCTGCATGGTGCCCCTACTAATCTGCAGGCAATGACGGATGATTAATCGAAAACAAAGATGAGATCGCCCAAAATGTGGTTGGCAATAGACACGACATTGCACTTTCTTGTCTCAATCTTCACATGGCCAAGCTTGCGCTTGTTCTTCTCCTTGATCACATTGCATACACGATCTCCCCACTGCTGTCAACATCAAGATCAGGATCGGAATCAAAGTCATCCATGTCATCATCCATCAGTTCTAGGTTATAAAGACCAGCTGGGGGTATGGTTGCCTCAGAGACTATTTGCATGATAGTATCTATGCTCTGCATTGGCTGGTCAGGCTCCTCAAACTGGGTGCTCACCATATTGTCATCCATCAGGTCGGCAGGGAGGTTCTTTAGAAACCAAGCATGATTTTTTATTTCTGGCATTGTGATTCTCTGTCACAAAACACATGGACAATTCATAAAGTCTTAACCAGATAACAAATATGTAGTACTACTTACTTATCATAACTAGTAGGGCTGATAAACACATAGCAACAGGCAAAATATTAAAGCATAATGATAAACAATATAGTCAAGACAGAAAAACTTAACAGCAAGTCCCAGTACAAAATCAACAAAAAGCAATAAAACCACAACCTTCTTCTCAAGACAATTGCTTTAGAGAATGTATCAAATTTCTTTAGAATACCACCAACCTGTGAAGGATCTCCAACAAATATCCTTGAGATAAGATGGCGACATTCCTCAGATATCTGAATGTTGTCTGGAATTGAATACTGAACACTCAGGATTCTCTGTAGAGCACAAATACAGATAACAGATTAGCATTATGTAAGACAATATCATGGACTATGTAAGTAGTAAATATAAGAGTTTAATTAATTACATTTATTGTCTTCCTAAAATCCTTTGGCTCATCAGGGTCCTCAAAGGGATATGCACCCACCAACATGACATACAATGTTACTCCGCATGACCATACATCTGCAACCTGCAACAATATGTTAGCTCTGCATTCAGTCTCTTCAAGGTCAGAAGAGGTCTAAGAAACTTTGCAATGAGAGGTCATAAATAAAGACATGCAGAAATAACAAAAACAGCATAAACAAAGAAACAAGTATGTATGCTGCTAATGGATCTCTAGTTCTCTACACTAGATTCCGCAACTATTCAGATAACCAAACGCAAAGAAAGTCTAAAGTCTCCAAAGTAAAAGAATTTATAACTAATACCTATCATATGTGGAATAGAAAGTCCCATACTTAACGTGCTAATTAAATAGTCAAATGCCTAATGCAGAAGGCATTTTGATATCTTCAAAAGCAGAGATAAATTATACAAGATAATAATCTGCAACAGTATCAGGAATGCCTACCTTGCCATCATATTCTTGCCTCAGCAGCACTTCAGGAGCAATGTACGCTGGGGTTCCCACTGTTGATTTGGGTTGTGAATGCAGCAAAGATGACTGTCAAAAACAGCAATAATCAGAAAATTACAAAGCCAGTGCAACTTGAAGGGACCATACCAGAATATGTATACACACTAGTAATGAAGGAAATGAGAGGGAACTCAGGGAAGTTGTTAAAAAGAACAGATTTTCACTTTCTTCTACTTCCAGTGAAGGGCTGTGCGATTAGTACTTCCTATGGGCCATTGACTTAAATTAAGAACTAACAATGGGAAAGTACCTTAGAATAGCCAAAATCACATATCTTCAAACGGGGAGCAACACTTCCATCAAGCAATGTGTTCTCCAGCTTTAGATCCCGATGACATACTTGCTTCATCAACATAAACATCGCACGAGAAATGAATAAACAAAAAATCAAAACGTTACATCTACAGACAAAATATAAGACTTTTGGTGGGGACCAGAAAAATAAATTACCATAGAGTGGCAGTAGCTGACTCCAGATATAAGTTGTTGGAAAAAGAAGCGAGCCTGTGACAAGAATTACAATGAGCACATAAAATTCCTCATAAAGAAAATGATATGCTAGTAACAGATCAGAACCTCATCCTCATTAAACCGCCCTGCATTGCAGATTCGCTCAAAAAGCTCACCACCAGATGCATATTCCATAACAATAGCCAAATGAGTTGGCGTTAGAATCACCTAAAGCAAAAAAAAAAATAAAAAATTGACAGATGAATCACCCCAATGCCACATAGGACTCATTAAAATACAAAAAGGCAAAAGGGGATATAGCAAGAAACCTCTCTGAATCTGACTATGTTAGGATGCCTGAGGGACCTGTGATTTATGATCTCTCGCTGAACATTTTCATCTATCTGCAATCAAAAGCCTCAGAGCACTCAATTTCACACAGAAACAAAATCACTCTAGGCATTAACTTAATCCTAGATAATGAGAAAAACACAGACATTTCAGTCTATATCATCACAGCTCTAATGCAGCAACAGGAACAAATTTGAGAGCTCAGAGCCACCAGTCAACTACTCAACTCAATCAAGGAAATGATTGTATAAATTGCTGGAAACAGTGAATAGCTATAAATTTAGACAAGGAGATATACAGCTAAAGATACTATAAGTCACCGTAAATGTAGCATTCATATGCAGAGCTCCATTAATTCTGACTAAACTTGCATGATTCCATTAGAACGGACCATAAAATTTTCTCTCCGGTCGCAGCAAATTCATATTCATCTCTAATTACAAATTCGCATAGAGAGAAACTGGGAAACAAAAATCTCAAAGCAAAACCATATTTAGCTAATACGGAACAACAATTATAGTAATCCCCGGGAATGAAGTAACCTTAACACTTGGCATAACAAGCAAAACTTGCCAAAAAACGATTCCCCTAATTACGCCAAAACTAAGTCACAGGAGTCTAACCTTGTCTCCTCTCTCGATATACTTCACCGCAACCAGCTCCTTAGTCTGCTTATCCCTCATGAGCCGCGCGATGCCGAAATTACCCGACCCGATATCCTTCACGAAATCGTAGCGGTCACTGTCGTGCATGATCGGCATATCCAAACCCGGCCCCGCCGTCATCCCGACCCGATCCATTTTTCCGCTGAGCTTCTCAGGCCGCAACCGATACTAAACCCAACAAAACCAAATTCACATCCCACGAGTCAAACAACGCCGCACTTTAACCGCCGCCGATCGTGAAAAACTGCCGGTTGACTATATTATGACGGATTTGCCCTCGAACCAGTAAAGCATTCAGTGAATGGAGATGGAGTTAGAGATGGAAGGCGGTTGCATATCTGTACTTTCTCAAGTCTTTTTTTTTTCTTTTTTTATTTTAATAATTTTGGAGGAGAAGATATTTTTGTATGGCTTGGTCGGCTATAAAATAATATCTTTTTGGTTTAATTTTGATTTAATTTATTTCTGTGTGCTCTGTGTGTGGGAACAGTGGATTGGGGAGATAGAAGACAGGAGAAGTGAAGTTGACGAGGCGACGCAGACGCTGCGCTGGAGAGGATTAGGTAAGGATAATGCAACGGTGTCGTTTTCCGAACCCGACGGCGTTTTTTCTCGTTATAATGACGAAATTGCCCCTGGTTTGGATAATTGTTTGGCGTGATTCACGATACCAAGGAAAGCATATTCGTTTTCGGGAAAAAAGACAATCTCATGTGTAAATTTTTCACACATTTTATATTCCTTCGGTCTTATTTTATGTGTTCGATTCAATTAACCATGTTGAATTGAAGTTATTTTAAGTACAATTTTTCATAATATTAAGTTAAATATTAATATACAAATTTTATTTATTTAAAAATTACATTAAAAGTACTATTTTACACAAAAAATTAAATTTAACAATAAATAAAGAATAGAGAATTAGTTTGAAAAACAAACAATAAGTATGACGGATAAAGTGAGTAACTCATTCCCAATTTACCCACCCAAAAACGAGATTCTTACCGTCTAGTTAAATTTATCATATTATTTATTTGATAATAATAAATTATAAACTCAATTTGTAATGACAATGATTTATTGTTCTTCTTGATTTCAGTCAATTAGTTATGGACAATTTATAATAATTGTCTTTTTATAATCTTTTGTATGTTAGAGTCACAATGTGACGTTTATTAAATACACACTCTCACATAATGATTACTTGACTACATATTTCTCTTGTCATTCAAAAAAAATAAATAAATAAATCATCGGATCGAACACATACCTAATAGGCTAATATCCCTATTAATAACAAAAATGACATGGTTTACTTGCACACTAAAAAAAATTTATACAATAAACAATTAAAAAGTATCGATTAAACTCATAATTTTTAAATATAAAAATTACAGAGTACAAAATTAACATTTCTTTTGTTCGTACAACAATTGTTATACCCTGCACCACGGCGCGCGCAGTACTGTGCGTCCGCGTTTCTTAAAACGATGTCGTTTTGGGAGGCGCGGAAGGGAGTTGACGTGGTTATGTGTATTTGTTTATATCATTATGTGCATTTGTTCATACAATTATGTGTATTTTTTATACAGTTATGTGTGTTTGTTTATACAACTATGTGTATTTATTTATACAATTATGTATATCTTTTTATATAGTTATGTAAAACAACGTCGTTTTGCATCAGGACGTACAATACAATGCGCACACTGGTGCACGATATAAATTGCCGTTCGCACAATCGTACACAGTGCTCCACCACTTGATCTTTAATGGGCTATTGATCCATTTATTTTTATTTGAAGCCCATAAACAGAAGCCCAAAAATACAAAACTATCGGGTCTCGGCCCAGAGCCCTTAAACCCTGGAACTCTGGAAGTGACAGGACTGAACCCTTTCACTGAGCCAGCTTTGAATTTCTCCGGACAAAGGTCAAGACATGACGAAGTGGTGGCGCACGGTGGCGGCTGCCGGCACCGGCTTAAGAAGCGCGACGGAGGCGCCGAGCCGACGATCGTATTTCACAATTCAGGCTATCCCAAGGGAGGTAACTGGGAACAGAGTTTCTGCGAAGGATCGAGCCCAGGGCCGTATCCCCGCCGTCGTCTTCTCGCAGAACTATGTCCAAACAAACCCTAGCGATCCGACTTCCATCGCCGCGACGGCCTCCGTCTCCCGGAAACGCCTCCTCACGACCGAGAGAAAGCAGATTAAGACCATTCTCAAGTCCGTAGATTCCCCTTTCTTCTGCTCCACGACATTTCCGTTCCAGATCCGGGCCGGGTCGGGCTCATCAACTTTACTTGAATCCGGGAAAGTACTCCCCATCAAGGCAAGTGATACTCGTATTATCACGAGCAATGTATCATTAGTTGATGCGTTTTATGAATTTCTCCCTCATTTCCTTTCCGCAATGTAGATTCACAGAGATAAGGAGACTGGGAAGATATTGAATTTGGTGTTTGTATGGGCTGAAGATGGATCGAAATTGAAGGTGGATATCCCTATTGTTTTGAAAGGAGAAGACGTATGCCTTGGTGTCAAGAAAGGTTTGTCTTTTACTATTCTTCTTAATGCAATTCCTTCTTTAGTCTTAATTCTTTTTCCAGTAGTATCTGTATTCTTCTTAGTTTTCCTGCACTATGCAATAAGATGATAATGAATCATTCATAAATGCACCAGTTTTTTTCCATGTGCTGAACGAACTTGTTTATACTCCATTTTAAATATGTGCACCCTGTAAACTGCTTATCTTCACTGTATTTTGCATTTCAAAATATGGAGCATGTGTTTTATAAGGCACCCTATCTTGATTGATTTTGTTTGTTAGATACTTAGATATAGTACTCCATGACTAGCTGATACTGAAGCTTTCATGGGATGCATCATAATGACCCACTTGTGAGATTACAGTACAAGTATTGATCATAAGTGAAATTCTTAATTTTGAGGCATACAAAGTAGGAAAAAAGCAATTTTCATAAGATTGGAAAACTTGGATGAGTTTCTTTTTTTTTTTTTGGGAACTGACTAAACAAATGATCCGTTCCTCTTTTCATAAAGCTCAGGCGCTCAGCCAAGGAAGGTGCCTATTTTAGAAGGCATTTTGAATTTCTAGATTAGAAATGTCTGGAAAATTTCAGGGCCATCAAGATGGAATATAGTACTCCATGACTAGATATCCACTCTAATATTCTGTAATTTCCAAAAATATAGACATGGTGGACTAAAAAGAACAAAGCCTCTGGCAAAACTAATCAAAATTGTGAATTTTAACTTGATTCTATCCAGCCACTGGCACCCTTTGCCTTCAGAGTTCAGGCTTTTCTCTTTATCCTGTCTACCTGTCCTACCCTAACACCACAACCCCCCCCCCCCCCCTCCTCCCCACAGGCCCCACCCACCCAGAAGAAAAATAAACAAATGAACAAAAATGAAAAGTTTTATCTGAATTATAAAATCATATAGGAACTAACTTCATGTGTTCCTCATTTTTGTGATTATTGAAAATTCGTGATAGGATTGGCATAAGTTAGTCTGAATGTTGTTTTGGTGTCCTGAAGTCATTTAACTTTTGAGGAGAAATTGGAGATCATTTTTATTTCATTTAAGTGTCTTGAACCCATAAAGTTTCATTGATCATATTAACATATTTATCATCCATTGCCTGCATGATGCACAGAGGTACTTGGGGCACTGCATCCTAGACCAACCATTACTATTAGTTGTGGTTAATAATGGTTTTCCTTTGATAAAAATAATAAGGAAGAAAAAGAGACATTTTAATGCTTGGCACTGCTGAGAAACACATCTATTTGTCTCTTCATTTGAGATCTTGAATTTGGTATTGCTTTTGTTATTTTCCCCTAGCAATTTCCTGTCACTCCTTTTTGTGTGGTTTGCTACCAGGGTGTTGGTTAACTAGAACTGGAAAATACTAAACTCTAGTGGAGGGATGTGAATTTACATTGATGCCTATAATTGTGCAAATGTTCAACTCCTCCCGCACACTACACAATGTGACTGTTGGCTTTTGTTTTTCCTTTGGGTGAAAACAGGAGGTCATCTAAACAAGGCAAGGACTAGTCTCAGGTTTTTATGCCCTGCCGAGAAAATCCCTCAAAAGATTGAGGTGGACGTGAGCAATCTAGATATTGGGGATAAAGTGTTGATGCATGACCTCGATATTGACCAAGGGCTGAAACTTCTGAGCAAGTACCCCGAGATGCCTGTGTGCAACATTCGAGATACATTTTTTGACAAGTTTGAAACTGCGCAGAATGATCCGATGGCATAGCAGTGGCACTGAAATCCACTACGCCTTTTATGCTTAGCAATGTAGGATAAGGTGCTTGTTCCAAAAGAAATCTGAATCTTTTTCCTAGTTTTGTGAGGTGGACATAATAAAATTCTGTTCTCTGTATTTCTATGTTGTGTTTCACAAAAAGAAATGCTATACCCCAAATGTTTGAATTCTTGTGTTCATTTAAGCACCATTGACCCATTGCCGTGCAAGGTAAGGTCAAGAGACAGGTCTGAAACCTCCAACGCAGAAATTAAGGCAGGATTCAAGAAAAAGAATGTTGTGGAAAGTTGAGCATTTGATTCTGGGCATTTATATAAATATTCTTGATTTTCTTGCCCTATATATCACTCTATGCCTCTATGCCACCTACCGCCAATAGTAAAAAATTGTTTGTGCCCCAAAATTAAGAGCATGTTTTCGCTTGTTTGTGCCGTAAAAGCTTATGTAAGAGTAAATACTGAGATGTGTTTTAGGCTTTTAGCTACTTTAAATTATTCTTCGGTGAATTAGTCAATCAGTTGAGTTATGTCTGGTGGACCCACTGCGAGTAGTATAGTGTCATTACATTAATTACTTATAAAATACTATTTTGAATTGAATTAGTCAACCAGTTGAGTTATGTCCAGTGGACCCACCCCGAATAGTATAGTGCCATCACGTGACTCACAACTCAATGCTTAAAATCCATTCTCATCTCCTCTTCCGGGCACCCCCACTTTTGGTTGGTCCATAAAATCTCCCCATCTCCAGTACCATTTGGCAAGACAGAAAGACAGATGGATCCTCCACAAGTTCAGTCCATAGACACCTCCACTGTTAAAAACCTCCCTCCACCCCAAGATGAACAAGACAAAGCCATCGACGACTGGTACCCTTGATTCTTCTAGTACTACTACTTTTTTTTAACAAAATTATGATTATGATTTATGAGTCAGGGGTTTCTGTTTCTCTTACGTTTGATTGTTGTCGGTGGTGCAGCTGTTCTTGCTTCTACGATTGCATGGGTAGCTGTTTGGAGTCTCTCTTCTGCTCTGACTGCTGTGATTGACAACACCCAATCGTTTTTGGAGATGATTTATTGTTCTTTTGGTTGTGTCTTCTCTGTTCAGTCTTCTTTTTAATATACTTTTTTGTTTTCTTCCATTTTCGCTGTAAGCTTGTTCTGAAGCTTGCAGGCATGGGATGATGTATACTTCTCTGTTTAACAAACTGGACCTTATGAAGAAAGAAGGTGATTAGTTAGTGGTAGTTCTTGCAATTAATACAGAGTAGAGACAATCCCACAAACGTTTGTGCACTCCGATTCATCGGTTGAGATGTTCAACTATTTTCAGCATACCAATATTCAATTCACAAACTTTATTGTGATTATTGGTGTCATGTCAATCAAAAAAAAAAAAAAAAAAAAAAATTAACATTCCAAAACTTAATTGATTGAACTAAAGAAATTGAAAAGAACATAATATTGTTATTGCCTTTAATAAAAGATTTTGAACCATTTATCAGTCTTTTTTTTTAGGGTATTTATAGGTGCCTTATTTTAATTTGGGTGCTTGGATTAAAATATGAAAGTAATCCTGAAAATTAGGAAAAGATCTCTTAAATGTCACAAACTTTGAATAAGATCATATCCTTCTGATGTATTTTCCATAGATGTGTTAAAACGTTTCTTCCAAATTCAAACTGAAGTGGTCTTGGGCCGACCATTCTGACTACCCAGATTGGACCAAACCCGACCACTAGACTGAAGCTGATCAGTAGACCTCTGAAGCGTTATGCTGTGCAACTGTGTGCACCTTGAATTCATAATATCTGTATTGTAAAATTATAATTTCTAAATTGTATAGTTATCAAATTATAAACATATAGTTCTGTGATTTGTGAATACATAGTTTAACAATTAGGAATATGAACATTGAAAATTATGAACATAGAATTTTGTAATTGTGAATATAGAGATCAATAATTATAAATCTATAATATAGAAATTATGAATTCAATTCCGTGTACACCATGCAAAATGCACTCGGTTGCACATCATAATTTGTCGTAGACCTCTTGTATCCAATCCTTTAGAAACACATTGTGTTTTGTTTAAAAAAAATGATTCAATTTCCTAGTTGTGTGCATGTGATTAGTTTCATTAACTAACGATTCAATCTCCATCCTACTTATACTCCACTTAGTTAAATATCACTTTCCATCACTCCACTTTCGCAGCTATTTACATCCACTTGTTTTATGCATTACCGAAAGTTCCTTCTTTGACATACTAAATATAATTTTTTAGATATAGAGTAACACTTGTGTGAGATTATCTCACGAATCTCAATCCGTGAAACGAGTCAGATTTTTTATTAATAGGTCAAATATTTGATTAATGAGTTGAATTTTTAATTTCATTAATCAAAATCTCTGACCCGTCTCATGGATTGAGACCGGTTAGACTCTCTCTCTCTCTCTCTCTCTCTATATATATATATATATATATATATATATATATATATATATATATTTATTTATTTATTTACACAAGTTTTACTCTATATCTAAATAATTTTTTTACTCTTGATGGTTATTAATATTAGGGAAAATGACACTTTTTCACCCTAAGTTATATACTTATAGCACTTTTTCCCCCTTAATTATTAAGTGGCTATTTTTCCCCATGAAATGTTAAATGGACATATTTACCCTTAAAACAAATATTTAAAATTAATATTTCATTTATTTTTATTCTCCAACAAATTATTACTATAATTTGGTTCAAACCAAACAGATACTATAGCAACCAAACAAAAATATTCCAATTACAATTTATAATCAAAACGTGATATTTAGAGTTTATTAAAATCGCGAACCGGAATGACCGGTTCATATTCCGAACTGAAAAAATAACATACATTTATTGTTGAATTTAGACTATTTTAAAATAAAAAATAAAATTTTAAAATAAAGACGGTTCAAAGTCGCGAACTGGATCCGGAACCGCCAGTTCACGGTTCATGATCCATTTTTTATTCTTAAATTTAGTAAATTGAACTCCAAATATTGGGTTATAGATCTGAACCATAACTGAAAACTTTTAATTCGATTGCTATAGTGTCTGGTTCAGTTCGAACCGAACCGTGGTAATCGCTACATATACGCAATAATTTGTTGGAGAAGTAAAATAAATAAAATGTTTGCTTTAAGGGTAGAAATGTCAATTTAATATATTGGGGGGAAAAACCACCACTTTTAAAATAATTGAGGGGGTTAATGTGCTTATATAAATAATTGAGGAGGAAAAAGTGCTATAAGTATATAATTTAGGGGGAAAAAGTGCCATTTTCCCTTAATATTACTATTACAATATTTTAGTTTTTATACCACTTCTCTCCTTCTCATTTCCAATAATTTTATTCCTCAGCACCAGACAACTAATTTAATTTCTACTTTATTCTCACATTATTCTTTTTCTACCGAATTACAATTCCTTTCTCCTCTGATTTATTCCTTCCAACCAAACGTGTTAGTTATAGATGGAGATTTTAATTTGAAATAATATTGATTGTACATGCATGTATGTAATATAAAAAAGCATTGATTGATCTCCAGTTTCGTGATGTCATCTTGGTTGCCTCATCTTTATCTAATCTTCATAAACATGGTGGCCAAATCACTTCCCACCAGTAATAATTATTAATAAGAAAAAATAGAACCGAAGAATGGTTTCCCTTCCTAGTTTCGTACAGAAATATGTTTTAGTTTAGTATATTAAAAGTTTATTTATTAATTGTCCACAATATAATTTGCGACAAGAAACATACTTATCAAACTTGGGCTATGGGGTCTGAACCGCTCCAACAGGCTACATATTTATACATTGGGTTGGGTTTTCCGGTCAAGTTGGTACCCAATATTTCATCACAATAATGGTGGTCTTTGTAGGATAGCAATTAGATGTATTTTGTTCCTTTCCATGTCAGATTTTGGCAGAGGTCCTGAGATATGAATTCCCAGTATCAAATGGGAATAATAAAAACTTAAAAGAGAAAAGAAGGGAACAGATTCCAGGAATCTGCCATCCTTGACTTAAGCATTATCCTCTATGCATCCTTCTTACTTCTGCTAATTAATGGTCTGCTCATTTCTCCACTAGTTTAGTGCAGTGGCCTGCCTGCAATAATATTGTATATTTGTATGTGCATATAGCTTTACACTAATATTGTATCCTCTCATCTGCATAATGCCCTCTACTACTCTTTTTCTATTCTTTTTTGGTGGCACTGAGGATTCAACCTACTTTGAAAAGCTTGTCACTTGCACTTTTTTTTTCATACTAATCTTAAGTCCCAGAATCCCTAGTCCAAGAGTCTCGAGTCACCCAAGCAGCCTCCCAGACTCCTAATCAGTCCCTAGAAATCCATTTTCGCACTTTCGCCATCTCGAGGAGTCCAATCTCCAATCTAGGGAGCCCAAGGCCCAAAACTCTTGCCGCTGAAATGCTAACTTTAGGTCAGGTGGTCTACCACTTGAGTTAGCCTTGCAGGACTTGTCACTTGCACTTTTTTGCAGGATTAGATTGCTATCATGGAACTGCCATTAGCCATAGATTGATTGACACTTCTGCACAAAAGTGTACTTTGGTCAACTTAAGTATGCTCATCTCTGATCATATTTCTTTGTTTTCTTCTAGAGGCATACCTCATCCCACCACTAAATCTTGTTCTTTTCTTGTCCATGATGAGCATTAGGTGAAGCTGAATGGATGGGGTTTTTAAACCAATGTGGAGTTTTGCCAAACTTGAATTGAAAGCGACGCCTTGGTGATCACAAGCTCCTATAAATAGGTGCCATTGCTGCTCATTCTGAGACATAACAATCTTAGCTTAGTACAAGTAGTGTATTGTGCATTTGAAAGATATGAAAGGCTTCAGAGTTTCAATCATATCATGGTTTTGTTTCTTGTTTCTGTGTTGTTTTGTCTATGGGCAGCTTGATTACAACTATTATGATGCCAGTTGCCCCAACCTGACAAGAATTGTCAAGTATAGTGTCTGGTCTGCTATCTCCAATGATACGAGGATGGCTGCCTCTCTCCTTCGTCTCCATTTCCACGACTGCATTGTTAATGTAACTCAATTAGTCCCGAGGCGTTGTGTTTCTGTTGGACACGAGGGTCCAGGCCCTTTAGGCCCCCGCCCAACAGTTTCTTAATTCCCATTTACTGCATGCTGAGATTCTTGAATGGACAAAATTCTGATTTCTGCTGCATAAAATGTGCAGGGATGTGATGCGTCTGTGTTGCTCGACGGTGGGGAGAAGAATGCGAAGCCGAACAAAGGCTCAGCCAGAGGGTTTGAGGTCATTGACACAATAAAAGCCAATGTGGAGAAGTTCTGTCCAAACACTGTTTCATGTGCTGATATACTCACTCTTGCAGCTAGAGAGGCTATCTATTTGGTAAGTGATGAACTTCTGGGGCTAATCTGATCTAATCTTTGTGTGTTTCATTCAGAAGGGGTTTTCTTGATATGGCTTTGTGAATCCAGATTGGAGGGCCCTTTTGGTCTGTGTCGTTTGGGCGCCGAGATGGCCTGACAACAAGTGAGGATGCAGCTAACAACCAGGTCCCTTCACCCTTTGAGCCACTGGAAAACATCACAGCAAAGTTTGTCTCAAAGGGGCTTGACATTAAGGATATGGTTGTTCTTTCAGGTAAAACTAATGCTTATCCGGGCTTAAGTTTATTTGTGTTGGGCGAAACCTGAAGGCCTAAGTCCACCTTATTTTTCGAAACGTAGTCGTAGTGCTGGCTGCTATGCATTGCTACTAGTTATAGCTTTTGGCTAAGCGCTTAATACTAACAAGTAGTATCAGCCAGGTCAACGATAACCACTAGTTATAACCGGTGTTGTAAAAATCGACCTAGGCGTCCCTAGGCCGAAACGATTTCAGCCCTACGCGGCTTTTAGTCGCCTGACCGAATAACTAGCCAACTTGGGACGAGTCGGGCGCCTATCTTGACCAAGTCGGTGCCCAACTTGATCGAGCGGTGTTTTTGTCTGCTTGGCTACATACTCATCTTCTATATTTCTCCAGTCATGTACTCAACTAACCATCTAACATATGCACTTGACTAGTTTGAAAATTATAACAGTCTAACAACTCCTAGCCCTGAGTAGGAAAAGTTGAGACGATATACTCGGATTACTCGACCACTTAGGCGCTCTAGGCGCTAGGCGTCCCCGGACACCCGACTAGAGCCTAGCGCCTTCTGCAACATTGGTTATAACTTTTGGTATAGTGATAAGCGTTTGTTTCATGCAGGTGGACATACCATAGGATTTGCTCAGTGCATCACATTCAAGCAAAGGCTGTTTGATTTTGATGGGGCTGGCAATCCTGATCCAACACTGGATGCATCCATGCTAAGCAACCTGCGAAGCCTCTGCCCGAACCAAGACGATTCGGACCCGAATTTGGCCCCTCTAGATGCTGTGACCACCAACAAGTTTGACAATGTATATTTCAAGAATGTGGTGAACAACACTGGGTTGCTTCAGTCAGACCAAGCTCTGGTGGCTGACAATACCACTGCCCAGATGGTGCTTGGTTACAGCAGGTACCCATATCTGTTCTTGAAGGATTTTGCTGCATCAATGGTGAAACTGGGCAGTGTGGGTGTGCTTACAGGGAAAGATGGAGAGATAAGGAAGAATTGTAGAGTTGTGAATTAGTGAAATGTAATGGATTCGGCCCTGTATAATGTGGTTTAGTTCTCAGGTCCTCTATGTGAAAATGAAAACTTATAGCCATTTATGGCTTCCAATAACTTTGGACTTCTTTGCAAATCAAGGCCTTTTAAAAAAGTGGTTTGGATACAAGGGAAAGAAAACCGGATAAAGCAAAAACCTAAATAAATCAAGATTGTGGAATGAATGTTAACAAAAATAAATCAAGATTGAGGAACCAGATTTTTTTTTTTTACGTTCTCAACTAAATAGAAATATCAAATTTTGATATCAATTACAAATAAAAATCTCAAAGTTTGATATCAATTACAAATTAACCTTCATCATAAATCTCAAAATTTTATATCAATCACAAATTAATACGTAGTACATATTATAATTTTAGCAAATGCACAATTCATAATTTGCAATTCAATGGTCAATCAATTATGAATAAACCTCACAAAGTGATTCACAATTCGTAATTACAATTAAACAATTAATCAATTATGAATAAATTTTACAAATTTAACAAATAGTATATATGAAGTTTATGACGGTGTTTTATGATTTTGATGTTGAAAATACATTTCATTTATCAATTATCAGTTATCACATATGTTTGCTCCTATTCTCATTATATAAAATCATCGTAGCTCACCATTCATCAATAATTATTTCAGTTAAAAAAAAAAAATTAACAACATGGGAGACATAAAAAGAGAATTAGAAGGAAAATGAAAGATCAATAGAATATTATTAGGGGGAACAAATTGCACTTTTGGTCCTGTGAGTATTAGGGTACTGACAATTTGAGTACGTGACTTTCAAAACTCCCAATTTAAACCTTTAACTATGCAATTTTTGACAGATTTGGTCCTCCGGGCCAAATTGCCGGCCAATTTTGGCCGGAAAAAGATTTAATGCTTCGAATTAATTTCTGATGAGGGTAAAAACGTCATTGCGATTGTATTTCGATCATCATGAGCATCATGGTACTCCGGCTCGTCTTCTTCTTCCTCCTCCTCGGCCACTGAGGCCAGCCTTTCGACCTCGAGGCAGAGCCTCTCCTTCATATCGTGGTCCTTAACGATGTGGATTTTGAACGGAATCTGCGCGTCCACCAGCGGCTGAGCCAGATCGGTGACCTTAGTAGTAGTAAAAGTGTCGAAATCATCCTCCAGCTTCTGCTGCGACTCCTCGTTGTCAGTGTCGACGATGGAGAGGTCAACAGAACCCCAGTCAGCTCCATAGAGAACAGAGGTGGGGCGGACATGGAGGAGTATGACGGCGTCCCCGGGACGGAGGTAGTGGTGGACCGCCCACTTGACGGCGAAGGCAGACTCGTCGCTGAGGTCTACGGCGATGCCGATCTTACGCTGGGCTCCGGCCGTGGGGTATCGGTGGAAGACGGGGTGGCGGGAGGCGGAAAGCGCGGGGAAGATGAACGGACTTTGACGTTGGCAAGGCGTGGAAGGTCGGAATCCGCGGAGTTAGGCTACATTTTCCGGCGATTGAACTCGGATTGGGGGCACAGGGACAGGGTGGGTACTCACCGTTTTGATTCGCCGTTGCTACAATATATAAGAAATGACGTTTTTACCCTCATCAGAAATTAATTCGAAGCATTAAATCTTTTTCCGGCCAAAATTGGTCGGCAATTTGGCACGGAGGACCAAATCTGTCAAAAATTGCATAGTTAAAGGTTTAAATTGGGAGTTTTGAAAGTCACGTACTCAAATTGTCAGTACCCTAATACTCACAGGACCAAAAGTGTAATTTGTTCTTATTAGGGGTAAAGTTGTACTTCTTTGAAACGTATGGACACAACTAAATGGACAAAATCAATGGCGCATAGTTGGGTTTTTATTTTAACTTAAAAACAAAACACACACACATATATAACACTAGGTTTAAAAAAATTACAGTGGGGTAGTAGTCCCGCTGTAGATTCGCCCCCATCACCAACAATAGTTTTTTGGTGAGTTTTTTTTTTTTTTTTTTTTTAATTTAAATTTAAATGAAATTTAGGTGAGTTGAAAGAGAGAGATGTGATGAGAGAGGGGAAATTTTTGTAAGAGTTTTTTTTTTTTTTTTTTTTGGGGGGGGGGGGGGGGGGGGGGTTTGCATGGAAGAAAAAAAAAATGGTTGGTTGATAACATCATTTGTGGTTACAGCAGATTGGGAAGCCATGCATATTGATCACAGAAATGGCGAATAGGAAAGGAAAGAAAGAAAAAAAAATCTCTTTAAGAAATTGTGGCTCTGATACCATGTAAGCGAACGAACAATGTGTTTATTAATGTAAAACATCTAGCTATAAATAGTGCACAAATGAGACTAAGTAACAGGGAGTTACAACAACAACTAGTCTAACATAGCTATTCTTCAGGAGCATAATTATAACAAATATATAGACAGAATATGTCAGCCACATATATTCTTAACAACGCACACCAACAGTGTCTGCTAGGCGCGTAAGACGGTAAGAGCATCTCCATCAATAAATTTTGAGAGAGGGTGAGAGGGAGGAAAGAGAAGAGTGGATATAGAAGACCTTGTTGCTTCTTTGGTAAAGTAAAATTTGACAGACAATGTTGAGAAACAAATGCAACATGCATTATATGACATGACTATTGGAATTGAATAGGTTGGCTTACCATTAATATCCCAGGCTACATCACATCACATGGGGGATCTGCTTACAAGATCCCTATCTTCTTGTACATCAACCAATGTTGTAATATTTCATCATCTGTCTGATAGATGAGGGCCACTGGGCATTTAGAGCCATGGCCCATTTCACCTGGACACAAATTTCCATGTCTCATTTTGGTGCCCCCACCCATCCTGCTTAGTTCGTTGGGCTTTGCCAAAAGGTTTTCCTCACATGCCATACATAATTATAGCTGATTCAGATTCGAAACTCAACATCAAATTGTACATTTCTGTGCATATATAAGAAGTTCATCTTAAATTTAGAATCTCTATATCTTCGTTAGAGATACATGGATCAAACCCCCACTATTAGACCAATGCACTAAGGCACCACGAATAGTTATTCATTCATAGCTAAATAGTAAACTCTGTCAAATGGTATACTATACGATATAGCATTAATGCTTTAGGCTTCAAATATATGATCGAATTTAACAATCGTTCTTTGTCAAATATATATAGAAAATTACATTCAAAATTTAGAGGTTTGTTCATGGAGTTAGTAGAATGATGATTATACGGTGGAAGACTAAATTTGATGAAATCATAAAAGTCATCACCAAAATGTGGCTAGATTTGAAAAAAGACGGCTAAACTTGAGAACTAATCCCGTTATTAATTCATAGGTTGTTGAGGAGTAGTTGGATAAATTATGAATGTGGCTAGATTTGAAAATAGATTACTGAACTCCAGAACAAATCTTGTAGATAAATTGTGATTTGGCCCTTCTCATATGTAATAACTTCGATCTTCTCCTAGATTTGAAAATAGTCCACTGAACTCGAAAACAAATCTTGTGGCGGCCCTTCTCGTGTGTAATAATTTCTTTTTATACGTAATAGTTCACAAATCACATAATTAAAAGAGAGAGATAGATTATACTATACCGATCTTGTACAACGAGTTAATTATGTTCCATTCATTTGACCACTCTTTTCATAGTTGACTACAACCATTTTAATTAATGAAAGGATAAGTATCAAGTAAGAGCACTCCAAGAAAAACATTAATAAAAAAACTATGATTTAAGTCAACTTTTCACCCAATTTGGGCCATCTTCCTGCAGGCCTACCAGAGAGCATTTCTAAACCTGCACACCCACCATTTTGATCATCCTTTAATAAAGTGATGCAATATGCATGAGGTTAAATTATTATTGTATGTACTAAGGTGACAGCGATTTAATTAATTGATTAGGTTGATAATTAAGGCATTGAAAAACTAACACCTCTTCAAATTTAATTATTATCTACCCATGGCCATGGTCGATCATTAAGAAGGTAGTTAAAAAGTTAATGAACCAACCCAAGTTCTAATTAATTAAATAGTAATAATAATAATTACATAAAACAATAATGATTACAATTTGTAGCACTTGGTTTCAATCAATTTTTGGTTAACAATCAAAATAACTGAAAAGTTGTTAACATAACCATGATAACCAACCTAGGCCCTGATTGGTAAAATGGTCGTTAGCTGAAATGTTGTTAGCTATTAGCTGATTGTGTTAATTAGAGGGTATAAATAGTTGATAACATTAGCTGATTGTAGAAAAATATTTGGTAAATTAGCTGATAGCTGTTTGGTATAATTTATTTTCTCAAAATGCTAATTGAAAAAGTTATTTGAATTAGCTTTTTGAATTTTAACCTTTTTTGGAGTTGCAAAAAGCTAATTAACCAAACATTTATATTGATATTTTAACTAAATCAAATAATTAATAGTGGTCAAATAAGTCAAAATTGACCTATAAGCTAATTTTTTTACCAAACAGGACCTAGTCTATTTGAGTTACTGGTCATCATTTACTCAATTAGTTGACTTTTGCTCATCTCTAAGAATGGTATATAAAATATGTTGACGTAATTACTTGCACTCAAAACTTGAATATTGGGTTTACATTCTTGTACACTTATAAGTTCTTTTTTATTTTACTCTTCTTTCATTTTCCTTTTTAATCTTTTGAAATTATATTTGATGTTAAACATGTTAATATAATTATCTACGTTCGAAAAAAAAAAGTAATGGTCAATAAATAAATGGGACAATTATTGAGTAAACAAAGTAGGATTTGGAGGTAAAAAAAATAAAAGTTGCAGCCATGAAGCTATGATTGGGGGAGGCAGTGGAGTCACTGGTTTATTCCATTAATCCATTGTGAGTTGCTCTCTTTTAGGGTGTGTTTGGTTCGCACACAAAAATCGAATTCAGAATGAGTATCAAATACTTGGTAATGGTAATGAGTTTTGGTGAAAGTATTTTACATGTTTAGTAATAGGGTGGAATGTGAATGATTAGGCTAAGGATGAATAATGGGATGAAACCCTTATAAAATAAGGGAATAGATTTTTTCATGGGTATTCCAAACCTATAATAGTGTTTTAAAAACCAGTAAATC